TCAATTTCTAGAGAATACTTTAGCCCCTTTTAAATGATAAAATAAAATATTAATTCTTGGTAATGGGTATTTGGTCATAATTGTTAATCTATTCAATTGTTGGTAATTGATATGTGCAATATGATAAATCCATTTTTCTTCTAAGCTGGAAGTACTGGTGCACTCCAAGGAGATTTACTTGATTTGATAAATTCTTTATTGGTTAATTTTTATAATTGACCTTTTGATTCTTGAAGCTATTTAGGAGCACTTTTATAAGGGATCTTAAATATAGTGATGCCCTTGATTAAGGCTTCGTTTGGGACAGCTTTTTTACTGCTTCTGAACAGCTTTCTAGTATAAAATTTTGTAATTTTTTATTAAGAAGCTGTTATAAGAAACAGGGAAGGAAGCCGCCTCCCTACGAAGCCTAAGTTTAATTTCAAGCTCCACTTCTCTTTCATATGGCAATCCTAGTAGTTACTCTGGGAATTCAACTGTAATTGAAATATTTTTTAATTCCTGAACATCTTTAATTGATACTTAAAATTTTGACTAAGAATTCCAACTTAATTATATTTTATTGGCCAATCCATTCTCATAATGAACATTAAAGTCATCAAGCTGGCTAAGATGACTATCCATTATTCTTATTGTACTCCTTATTTATTTTTATATATATATATTATATGATAAGTCACTCCAAACTCAACCAACTGATAAATCCTCCAATTATTTTTTATATATAATATATAATAAGCACTCCAAACTCAACCAACTGAATAAATCCTCCAATTATGTTGGCCTGCAACTATATAATAATCATATCCAGAATCAAATCTCATTTTTAACTCTATTTCTAAAATTCCTTATGCTTCTATTATAATTCACAATTCAAATATTGTTTTGATACAAATTCTATCACACCCAATTTCCCACTTTTTTCAAGTGATTATGTAGTATAACATGAGTAAACAATCTAGTCAAACGCAACTCATATCACACCCATCTTGATATAACTCGTTAGAATCGAATAAATGAAAATAGTCTAAGCTTAATCATCTCAAAGAAACTTAACAATCATCTAATATATACATCATATTATAAGGTGTCCAATTTCCGTTATGGTTGGGTTCGGGTCAAACCCGAAATTACCCGGCACTATTCGGGCAACCCGAACATGACCCATTTTTCAAACGGGTCAGCTTCGGGCTGGGTGTAACCCACCAACCCGAATGAATCGGGATGAACAAAAAATAGCTAGTTTTTTGGTCAAAAAAAGGCTCAATCTCAACTTTTGGGTAAAAAACGGGTCAATCTCGGGTTGTCGGTGGTAAAAAAAATGAAATTTTGGTAAAAACAGTGTTAATTTCGGGTTAACTGGTATTGTTGAACCCAAACCCAACCCGTTTCGGTTTGGGGTCAAACCCAAGCGAAATTTTCATGTTGGTTTCGGGTCGGGTCCAATATTGACCCCTACATCATAAGCATTGAAATGAAAGCATATATAAAATAATTAATCAAGTTTATAGCTTCCTAAAATAGCTTTTTAAAATAATTATTACTACCCAAACTATTAATTTACATCATCATCAAAAAGAGCTTTATAATATCACTCTCTGCCCCTTCCCTTTTCCTAAATTCATGTATATAATAAAATGAACATAAAGCTAACGAGGCAAACAATTATGCCATATAGTTGAAAGATACAAAAAAAAGAATATATAAAAGAACAAAAATGAAATAAAATAATAAATAAAAAAAACATAAAACAAGAAAAGAATATAAAAAATTCATGCCATCATGTGGTAAAAAGAAGTATTTATATATTGAAGTATATAATAGTTCAGTATAGTAGATGTTGGGTTAATGCATGAGTTATTAATTAACATAATAATGATCAATGATAGTAAGTTGATTATAAAGAAAATCATAATCCATAAACAAGTTTAGTTTATACTTCTCCAATAAGATTCTTACACAGTATTTTCTCTTCCTTTTCAAAGACCTCACTATAAGTTTTGATTTAGATGCTAACCCTCTCCATTTATATAGATCATTTATAATCAAAATCAATCATAATTCTTTTAAATTAAGAAATAGAGTCCTTTTCTTTCGACTTACCTAGCCAACCCTTATAATCTTACCTCCAATATGCACAAAAATATCTTGAATACTTCTTAGTCTAGTCACTGTGTGACAGTTTTGATTTTGCTAAGATAAAGTAGATGGTTATTCTTGTACACATATCATATAATATTATTAAATAATATTTATTTTTATTAATGAGATATGATCTCGAATTGTGAATTAATGTATTATATTAGACAATATAAACAACCTATCAAATACATTTATTATCAAAGTGAAAGAGAATTTTCAATCATGCAATTCTAAATTGCAAGTCATCCTCATTATAAAATCATATTAATGTAAATGGTCAAGATTACAAATATGTGATTCCCCTGCTAATGGAAAATGGTTTTCCCTTAAAACTCGGTTTCTTGAATGGTAAACCTCAATCTAAGTCATTTAAATATGTATTAGTTGAATAATCTTCATCCAGTTTTCCTGTTCTCAAAGCTTCTACCCACAAGGTTTTCCTTATCTTTGGATTTCTGAGGAGGAGATCCAAGCCTAGCGGGACCTTTCGAGTTTTCTCTTAGTAAATTTTTGATTCGTCAACCTCTTGGATGATATTCAGAAGTTTTCTTACCTAAAACTATTTAGTAAGTTTATGCTACCATTCAGATCTAAGACATGTCTGATCAAATTATCAAATGATTTGGATTACAGTTGTATTTAGCTCTCTCTTTTTTTTTCT